CTGGCTCACGTGGTCAAGCTGTGTAAACTCTTTCTTCCTCCTCTTCGTGGACAATCGTCTCGTACCTACCATCAATTATTCAAGGATATATAACAAACTATTTTCAAAGTGTCATTATTTGGTAAACAATTTAATGTTTTTGACAATCCTCCGTGTCCTCCTGTATGGAGGAGCTGTTGGCTGAGACTGTTACATAAATATACTATGTAGCAACGTGTACTCATTACATTACAGGTCATTTAGCTGACGCTTTTATCCAAAGCAACTTACATTGCATTTTTAACCCATGGCTTTTTACATTTTTGCCCAGGACTGCTCTTGGACAGGAGATTGCCTCGCTGGTTCCCTCGGTCTGCAGTCCTTGTGCCAAACTCAGCATGCCGTCTCAGTATCCAACAGACATGAGATTAATCATTTTCTTATCTAACTCTCAGCTAGAAATTGAATAAGGATATTACATAACCCAGTTTTACAGAATACCAACCTTGCATGTATGTTTGTTGGTGTGTGTTAAATTCTGGTAAGCAATGGAGAGTAAACGTTCACCTGTTGAAACTGAATGATGAAAGGTGTAATGACCAGAGACGAGGTGAAGGTTTTCTCAGCAACAGAATGGTGGTTGCCAGCTCAATATTTCATACCAGTGCAGACATTGAAGACTTTAGGTGGCCGAGTTCACAACTGCGAGCATGTAGTTTTAACAATAGGAAGATTACACTGTGTCTTTAAAGTGACTCAGTGGTTGATTTGAAGCTAACCAGGGTATTTCGGGAGCAGGACCACGCCTCCAACACGCCCCCTCCGGTATTGCCATAAATACAGCTCAACCCACTCTTCTTGTTCTTCGAGTACGCATTCCAAAACACGGCCGAGGTCAGGTAACACACGATCGCACGTTACTTACGAACACCTTACCTACGTTACGTCATCTAACCTCCTGCACCGAGATGCTATCGCACCTTCCCATTCAGACAGCAACAACATTTTCTCCAGGAAAGAACAGCATAAACCACTCCGAAGTTTTCCACACCTCACGTAATGGGAGACTTTTGCGGGTTCGCCTTGCAACCAGGCGCACGGCGGATCCTCTAACATAATTACTCACAACCCAAACCAACCGACCAGATGAAATCAATCAATCAATCAATTACACGTCGACTAATGAAGAACACCTTCAGTGGATGGCGTGGTCCTTGCTAGTGAAAAGAGCAACTATTACCAGAACAAATGGATTTATCCTTGTCTGTATAGAGTCTCTGCGTGTGACAGGTAGATGTAAGACCTTCCTTTCCCGCTCCTCACCATTTCCCCATCTGTGTCTCTCATTTACCAATAAGGAATCACAGTGTTTTCTTTACTCTTCACCGTTTGGTATTTCCTCTATCATTTAGCAATGGGCTGACGGTGCTCCTCCGCTCCCACTTGCTTTGGCACTATCCCTTCTATATATGTGTGTAATCAAAGCATATAATCATATGCTACACACCCACATACTGTCTGAGGCTTTAAGATTATATGTCTCGTGGAGTAAGAACAAAATCATCATATTAATGGTGGAGTTTTGCAATAATACACATAATCCACTGTTTTTATTTTTTATTGGATTGACCTTTGTAGAAGTGGTTTGAATGGGATTTTACAGATGCCTAATAAAGGCATGTTTTACTAGCTTTTACTTTATTTTGATGGCTCTGTCGCACTCTGAGATCTGTTAATGAAGAGTGAGTTATAAATAAAATGCATTATTATTAATAGCAAACAAGCAGAGAACAATGTAGAGACTACTTTTTCATGCAATCACAGCCCACCATAGGGATGAACAAAATAAATCATTAGCAGTAGGGGACAACCTCAGTTTAAACAGGTGATACATTATACAAACATTACATTATCAACATTTAACTACACTTTAGTTTCTAATTACGATGAAAAACTATCCCGACAAGACTTTTAAATTGAAATCTGTTAAATTAAGTTTATTTGACAGTGAAGCACTGTAAATGTCACCACAGAGAATGGTTTTGGCATTCATATCATATAATGAATACATTTTATCACTTAATTGTCCTAGTAATTGTACATACAACAGGAATGCACCGTAATCTGTAAATCATTCAATATTCTGATTTTGACATGAATTACCTTTGATTACACACCATTGTGGTGCCAATGGAGATAAAACATATACACTTAACAGCCAGCACTGTATTTATAGTCATGCTTTGTAATGAAAACAGTTTCTCACTGTTAATTGTAAAGAACCTCTTACTTAAAACAGCAATACACCAGAATATGATATGAAGGGTAAGTGGCCTTGAAGTTGACTGACTGACAGCGGCCAGTCTGTGACGAACTTTTTAACCAATTTCAGCGTCAGCTGACAACATTGTGCATCTGTTCAGTGGCAAACCGTTGGAGTCAGCTGTCAGTGTGCTGGTGATGCTTGGCATTTAAATGCACTGCAGCGTTATGTGATCGCCAGTGTTTGGATACTGAACAGCACTTATTTGCTTATTTGAAGGAGCATCTTGTGGAAGGACGCATGGGGACTTGTCCTGTGGGTGGATGCAAAAATGTTTTTATGGTCAAATCTTCATTTACGACCCATATGTCACAGAAACAGTGATTTTGCAGACAGTGCAATTAGGGACATAAAATAATTTGATCTAATACAGCAACCTTTCAGACATGGCATTCAAACTCGGGAATAACTTTTTGGGTACCCAGGGAATTGGTACGATTTGAGTCCGTTTAAATGCCAAAAGCAGTTTCCTTTACTTTTAAAGATAATTCTGATGTCACTCCCTTCATCCCCTTACTGTCTCGTTCAGGTATGATAATAACTATCAACAGTTATACTTCATGTGGACCTCATCACCCTTTTTGTTGTCCTACTAGTATAACCTTATGATCTGATGCAAGTTGTCAAGATTAAATGGTGGTAAGTTGTTGTAAAGTTAAGGCTTTATTCTATTTCTGGAAGCACTTTAAATATTGTTGATGTTGAGCACTGCATGAACCTAGACTTTCCATAATTTAATATAGGTTCTACTTGCAAGTAAAACCTGTTTTGACTTTATAGACAAGTTTCCCGGGCACTTCCGGTTTATTTCCTGTTTCTGCCAAGAACTTCCGGCACAGGCTGAGTAGTGGTGTAAAAATGGCTTTGGAATGGCAACATTCGACCGAAAATCTTGTTAAAAGTTTTGACCATTCCGCATCCAAGTAAGGTAACATCATGGCCGGACAACATGTCGATATGGCCCAGCATCACAACATCCAAGATCTTTTCTTATTTTATTGATTCCATGGCGGTGGATGGGAATGCAATTAATAACCTAAGAAAGCTCAGAGGCGTTTCAGTACCTCCATTCCGACAAAGTGGGCTGTGTACTTTTACACGATATGGGCATAGAACGGCCGATGTTCAACCAAGCCAGTCCGTTAACAATTCAGCGCGTAACGCCTGGGTTTTGGTTACCAAGACGGGAGATGTGGAGCTTTGCGCTTTGGAAGGTACGTTAGCCCATCTTATGCTTGTATTAAGATGTTTGTATGTATCCGTGTGTTAATATATAACAGAACACGAAGAGTAATAAAAAGAAAGTAATCCCCTCTAGCCTGCCTGCACTAAAAGCATTTAACCCTTCAAAGTCGACTGACGAGCGTCAAAGTGCGCACCCCTGACATATCTATTAATAGCTTCGGAATGGATAAAAGGTATTAACTTACTTTTTTTTCTATGAAAAAGCTGACATTCGTCTGCGTAGTAATTAGTAGTCTGTGTTGACTTTGAATGATAAGCCTTCCGTCTTTGAGTGCAAATCTATAGCATTTTACTCACTTGTAGATGGTTGATGGTCGAAACATTCTCCTTCCGACCAAACATTCAGCAATCGGCACGAGTTGTTGCAACCGTGAACAGCACAATATGTCCCGGAGCCGTGTCGGCGTGTAACACCATCCATAGTTTACTTTTTCTGCACGCTAACCAAAGACCGTAAAAGACGCTAACTCGCTAACCGGAAGTGCTTTGCAGACACAACCGGAAGTCGTTGGCAGAGTGAAAGGCCAATGGCGGCCCGCTTATTTCACTCAGGAAACTTGTCTATACACACTCAGATTTTGACATACCCTACTTTATTATGGCTATTTCTTTTCCTAACTCATTATGGTGGCGGGAGTGGTTTTGGCTCTGCTGCAGAGGGGAAAGAAAGGGGGAGTGGCTCAGGGAACTGTGCCAGGTGGAGGCAATTGGCCTCAGCTGCAAGAAATCATCATTGTGATTATCTCCATGTTTTAAAAAAGACAAAGGAAGAGCGATTGGCGAGAGGAGAGTCGGCAGACGGGAGAGCTGGATGCAGAGAGTGTGCAATTACAGATGTGTCGATGTTTTGATCATTTGAGGGTTTAGGGGAGGATGATGACTGACAACGACCACCGGCAGGGGATACTGGCCCAACCGATCATGGCGCTAGGCCAGATGATCGGCGAGCTGGCGGCTATCCAGTGCAACTACGCAATCCGATATCCGGAGGCAGGGCCATTGCGCAATATCTCGGCAAAGAGTGTCGCGCAGGCTCTGTTTCAGGTCATCTCCCGGGTCGGAATCCCAAAAGAGATTATGACCGACCAGGGCACCTCGTTCATTTTTGCGGACGCTGAGAGAACTTTACGGGTTTCTGGGCGTTCGGTCCATTGGGACTAGTGTGTACCACCTACAGACCGATGGGCTACTGGTACGCATGAATCAGACGCTGAAGTCCATGATCGGTTATCAGCGAAGATCAACGTAATTGGAATAACTGTCTTGATCCTCTGTTGTTTGCAGTACAGGAGGTTCCCCAGGCCTCCATGGGATTTTCTCCCTTTGAACTTTTGTTTGGACACCGAGGGGGGGGTGATGGACCTAATTAAAGAAAACTGGGAGGAAGGTCCGAGCCCCGGCAAGATCGAGATCCAGTACGTCCTGGACCTGCGAGCAGAGGAGCCAGGCTGCGGCAATTCACACCGGGAGAAAAGGTACTTTTATTACTTCCAACTCTAAACTAAGCTAAGTGGCAAGGGCCCTTTGAGTTGTCACACGGAAGGTGGGGGATGTTGCAAATATACCACCTAAACCTCCTGAAAGCCTCGAGGGAGGTGGAGTCTGTTTCTCTGGTGTCCGCGGTATCAGAAAAAAAGAGCTAGGGCCGGAGGTGGCAAAAGCGGTTAATCCCACCCCACCCCGCTCTCGTGCGAGGCCCGTCTCTCCGAGGACCAGAGAACGGTTTATCGTGGACTATGGCAGGGTGAACGAGGTGTTACAATTTGATGCCTACCCAATGCCCCGGGTCGACTAACTCCTGGACTGGCTGGGCACTGCATGTTTCTTTACGACCCTGGATTTGACTAAGAGCTACTGGCAGATTCCTCTGTCGTCAGAGTCCAAGGAAAAAACTGCTTACTCCACTCCGTATGGGTTATACCAATTTACCACACTTCCCTTTGGCTCGTTCGGTGCCCCGGCCACGTTTCAACGGTTCATGGACTGGGTACTGCGTCCACACGCCGCCTATGCTGCCGCCTACTTGGATGATGTTGTTATTATCCACAGCACCACCTGGGCGGAGCACGTGTGGCGGGTAGGTGGGGGAAGTGTGCAGTTGAAGGGAGGTACGGTATTTGCGGTACCACTTGGGGGGCGGGCAGGCGTGCACTCAGGTGGACAAGACGCCAGCTATCGCGGCCTGCCCACGACCCAAGACTAAAAAAGAGGTTAGGTGGTTTTGGGGCAGGCGGGGTATTACAGGCGCTTCATCCCCGGCTTTGCGGACTTCACCAGCCCCTTGACTGATCTGACCCGGAAAGGTCAGTCAGATCCAGTGGTCGGAGCCAGCAGGCGTTTGAGAAGGTAAAGCAGACTCTCTGTGGGGAACCACTCCTCTACACCCCTAACTTTTCTTTTCCCTTTACTTTGCAGACAGACTCATCGGACAAGGGGCTGGGTGCCGTTTTGTCCCAGGAGGTGGGGGGGGAGAGTTGACTGCCCCGTGTTATAAATCAGCCGGAGGCTGTCCGAGTGGGAGGCCAGGTACAGCACGGTGGAGTAGGAGTGCCTGGCCATCCAGTGGGCGTTGGACTCCCTGCGCTACTACCTCCTGGGACGTCATTCACCCTCTGTTCGGACCACGACCCGCTCCCCGCATGAAGGATACCATACTAATCTCCGCTCCCTCTTTTTTAAATTGGTTCTGTTCAACCCTCTTTAATGTTTTGTGTCTGTCTTTTTTGTTTTATTTTTGTGTGAACTTTGTGGGAATCGTATTGCATCTGTAAGTGTCGGTATTGTTAATATTTCTTCTTTTATCTGGCCGTAGAGTCGATCATGCCCGTTCCTGTGAACACCAAATTGACTTGAGAATCCTCAAGCTGAAATAACATCACCTGCCCAAAGTTCCAGTTTCCTGAATACAAAGCCCTCTGTTTGGGAATTTATCCCACCTGACGAGTCTCGACGCAGTGACTCAAACATCTTTGTCAAGGTTAATTACAGGTAAGATGTGGTGTAGTTCAGTGTAGCAAATAAAATAATACAAATAATACTTGTGTGTTCATATATAGGGGAAGCACGTCTTCAAATGCAATAAAACGCATGAACAAAACTTACTGTAATTTTCTTTTGGTGGTATTTAATAAAGTTTTATAGAATTAATGAAATTAGTGCAATGCAAATATCCTGGTTGTATAACATGATTCTCTTTTTGATTGAGGAATCTGTATTCAGGTTGCTTGTCGACACAAATTAAACACATGCTGATTATTAGTGCTGAAATGTGTAAAAAATGATTTACCATTCGACCTGATAGTCATCTAGATGTCATAGAAAATATTTTCTAACCAAATTATTGTCCAGTGTGCTGGTTTCTTCCCAGTCATTGGAGCTCAGTTTAACACCAGACGGCAGTGAATGTTTCTCAGATTGATGCAGCAGTTCAGCATAATTTTTCTAACTATCTTCTTTCTTTTTTTGGGACTGCAGAGGATCATTGCAGTCCAAATTGAACACTGACTGGTCAACATGAGTCGTCAAGTGCATGTGTGTGACTCCCCACCGGGTTGTGTGACCTCCTCAGTCAAGTCTGGACTCAGTGATTCATTACTCTTGATCATGTTTACTCATTTATGGACACATGCTGTTTTTTGTGTTTAGCTATAGCTAAAGTTAAAATCCATTCCAAAACAATTGTATACTGTATTTTTTGTAATTGAATTATTTTTTCTTTTTAATGTTTGCACTTGTCTCAATTTTTTCTTTGGCCTAGATGTCAAGCAAACGTTGGACCTGTCCCACACGTACTTTTTTCCTTTCAACCTTAGGCTAATCTTAAAAGGAAGAGGTAGTGTGCATTAGAAAGAGGGGTAGAGAACTGGCACAACTTCCAGTCTTTGTTTGTGCCACGCTCTTACATTATTATTTTATTGTGTAATTTAACAACTGAAAAGTTGATTCTTATGCCCACAGTAATTTCCTGCCTCCCTCCCTCATTTACAGAGACTCACTCTTGTGGCCAATTAGTCAATGTCTGTTGAAATGTCTTCATTTTTCATTTGAGTGTTCATTGATCAGTATAATTGTAATTAATAAGCCAATTTCACTTGGCAGAGATGGGAGTTTTTGGCACTTGTTTTGAATACCCTCAGTTAGTTACGGGGGAGGAAACGAGGGTCTCATTAACTAGGTCGAAATACATGACTTTATTAATCTTCTACTGCCTGGGATGTTAAAGATTTGGTATCATCAGGCAGTTTATGCTGTATGGTATTCACCACTGCACATCTAGAGCTGACCTGAAAACACTGCTATTGATGGATTCTGCTTGTGTGAACACCTGATAAAGAAAATGAAAGAGCTAAAGGAGGGTAAGCACTGGACATATGTTTGTTAGGGCATTGTTACGGCCTTTTGGAATGTTTAGGGATATGGCTGCAAGGCGAGCAAAATAGCTGAAAGTGTATCTACTTTGCCTGTGAACATAGCAACCAGGAAAAGGAAGTTTAATTAGGGAAAGGTTTTCAGTCTTCTATACAACTCAACATCACGGTTGTAATTTTTGTCTTTTAAAGGGCTTTCCAGTCTTTAAACATGCAACATCCTCTGTCCCGAAACCCTTACAACAGCACAGGAAAAACTTGATGAAAAAACCCTTTAACCGGGAGAAAAGAGGAAGAAAGGGCATAGGAGGGATCCCTCTATCAAAATGAACAACACGTAAAAGATGTACAGTATGTACGAAATATGACAGAAATAATTTAGAGTAGTGGGCGTCGTCACGACTTAAAATGACTACTGATAATAAAAGCTGTATTGGATGAAGAAGGCTAACAATAATAACAAATGATTATGGTGTCAGCAATAGTGATATGACTACTGTAAAGGGCTGAGGGGCAGAATAGGAAAAGGGGTGTATGTACCTACACCATCGGAATCAAGCCATCGCAATCAGGTGTGCCAGGAGACATACCTGGACCTCATCAAGGGGGGTACAAAAGAAGGCGGAAGGAGCAGTGAAGGGAGACAAGTTGAGGGAGGACCCCGTAAGCGGCCCGGCGTTTGTTTCCTTATTTTTATTTGATTAAACTGCTCAAACGACACTCTCTGCCTCTTGACTTTTGCACAGCCAGTTATTTGAAATCCTCTGTGCCATCTTGTTACACTACTAATAATAATGACCATAGATATCAGGCAGGACCATTGCAAGAACAACCACCGGCCAGATAACCACCATCCACAGAAAAACCTGTGCGCAGGGAGGCACAAAAACTTCAGGAATGAAGCAAAGTTGGTAATCTGGGTTTAGGTCAAAAGTAATGTAGTGACAGTAGCAACAGGTTTGTTGTTGTTCAAACTCTGCGTTTGAGTCCCGCCTCCACCTTCCCGTTTGTGACAGAATGACGCGACCACTTAAGGACTCAGCAGACCCGTTGCCAGATTACGGACCTGATTACCTGGACGTGAGGAGTCCAAGTTTTGGCAGTGTGGTGGAAGATTTTGCACAATTTGGACAATCGTTAAGTAAGAAACAAAGGCTCTGAGTCAAGTATGTCTTTTCTCCGTTTATTTCCTTGCAAGGGAAAAAGGGTCACAACAGCTACGTGGTCAGTAGACTGTCAAGAACCTCCTTCTCCCCCCAACACATAGAGGCAGTTCTTATACCTAAGTTTAGATATCGGTGGCGTCAACAGAAACCTTTGACCATCTAGTTGAGTCTCTACAGCCAGGGTACTGGGAACATCTTTTCAATGTAAGACATGTCAGTTCTTTGACCGTGTCCTTGCTCTCCCAACATGCGAGCACAAATGCACAAATGTGGTCATAGACATAACAAACACTTTGTTCAATCTCTACAGCTATGACGCTGGAAACTTCTAATCCAAGTGGGAGACATCAGTTCTTATGTCAGGGCCTTTGTGATCTAAGCACTTGCAACTAATAAACTGGTTATACAAATGAAGCATTTAAAAGGGTTACATATCATTTTCCCATTACATTCCACTCTTTTGATTACATAATAATCACACACTATGCATCAATTTAGAATGCCTACTCTAAAAATTTACCATCTGATATTTACCACATCAAATATCACAAAACATGAACATCTGGACATCGCTCACAAAACTTTGCCTGCCACAGAACAAAAACTCGCTAAAAAACCCTCCGAAATGGGAAAATAGGAAGAAATCTGTTAAGAGAAGATAAAGACTGGAAACCTTCTCACAGGATTTGAGCGTTACACCCCAGATGTCATGTGTACAGTATTGAAATGAAAGGAAATGAAAACCTGTTTAAATCACAATACCGGAACTTGATTCCCTTTCACACAATACAGTTAAATAATATTGTGGAAAAGTAATTATATCAATCATATTTACGTTACATACTAATAAATGCAGGGATAAAAGCTGTTTTTGTGAGAATGTTATTTCTCATTGTTTTAGCAAGCTACTGTGAAACAAAAAACATTTAGAACCTCAGGAATGCACAGTGTGTCACTATTACACAGACAAACTTTTTTTTTGGCCCCAGGAGCGATCAAAGAGCTTGCCTTGAGCTAAGAGACCTCTTCAACCCCAGGAGAAAGAGCCCAGGCAAGAGGAAGCAGCATACCCCAGTTCCCGCTGGGCGGCAGCGACCTCTGACCCCAGTACGCATGTCTCCGCCTCCAGTCCCGGCTCGCTCCCCCGACGCTTCCAGTCCCGGCTCGCTCCCCCGACGCTTCCAGTCCCCGCTCCCCGACTCGCACCCCGGACGCTTCCAGTCCCCGCTCCCCGACCCACACCCTCGACGCTTCCATGAACCTCCCTCTCAGGCAACTTGCTCCTTCCCCCCATGTGCTGGTCTGATTGTTTCCACCTGTGCCCCTACACTGTCTGAGTCTCCCTTTGTCCTCTGCCAGTTCGTCTCGTCTCACGTCAAGGAACCAGTGCATGTCCGCATCCATAGCTTTACCATGTTTTTGTTCTTAGGTTTAGTGTTTTCCTCGACCACGAGTAATTTTTATTTCAGTGGCACTTGCCCTTTTGTTAATAAACTTCGATTTATTTTGGAACTTTGTCTAAAGAGCCATGCACTTGGGTTCAGGGCCATTGTCCGTTCGTGATAGATTCTGCATACAGGCAGAAACTAAAGCTCTACAAACCTGTGATGAGGGAATTCAAGAAGTGGACCAGTGAGGTGCTGCAGGATCTTTGGGCGTGCTTTGACTGCACAATCTGGGATGTTTTCAGGACTGCTACCAACAGTCTGGATGAGTTCAAAGAGGCTGTAACTTCTTACATTGCCCTCTGTGAGGACAGCTGTGTACCACCATGCACTAGGGTGAGTTATAACAACAAAAAACCCTGGTGTCTTTACCGCGGAACTCAGTAAGCTGCAAAAGGATCAGGCATTTAGGTGTGGGGAGTGTTCAGTCAAAATACAGTTTTAGCAAGGCGGTTAGAGATGCTAAACGACTGTACTCTGCGCCGTTCCCTCACCGTGCTGCCCGTCCATGTCCCCGATCGTCCCTGGTCAGGCGCCACTGTAGCGGGGACGGAGGTACCACAGTCTACTTGGCAATATACAATTTTTCCTTTTGCAGTGAGCAGGTTTTGGGCTCCTCGGCCTTGCACCTCAGCATCTGCTCCAGTCTCTCGCTCGCCAAGTCCTGCTCACTGCTTTTACAGGGGAGACAATCAACTACCCACCCGCACCGTTCCTGAACCACTCCCCCGCTGCAGCTGAGCTAACCACGCCTGCCACCACACTGATTCAATAAAAAAAATGTATCAAATATACAATCAGCGTCCTTAAACACCTATGTTTTGCCCCTAGTCAAGGCGGGTATCGACAGGCAGATGATATTCTGGAGGTAGTAAAGAGCATGGATTTTATTGCTATTCAAGCGGACAAGACAAATTACATTTATACAGTACATATCATATCATACTGATAATATGGGCGACTGTGGGTGAGTGGGGAGCACGGTCGTCCTCCAATCAGAGGGTTGTCGGTTCGATCCCAGGCCCGGCTAACCTGCATGTCGTTGTGTCCATGGGCAAGACACTTAACCCAACATGGCTCCTGTAGCTGCGACTACAGTGTGTGAATGTTAGTTACTGATGGGCAGGTGTCACTGTGTATGGTTCTCCTGTCATCAGTGTATGAATGGGTGTGAATGGGTGAATGATGTCATGTAGTGTTAAAGCGCTTTGAGTGGTCAGAAGACTAGAAAAGCGCTGTACAAGTACAGTCCATTTACCATTACCATTTACCATAATTATTTAATATATATTGTATATAACACTGGGTTAGGCTTAGGCCTGTGAGGGTGACAAAAATAAGATTGTCAAAGTGATATAAACTGGGTTTTTTATATTAATATAAATTATTTAACTGCAACTTTGCTATCTTAATTGTTTTGTATTAAATCCACCTGGGATGTTTGTGCGAAATTGATTTCATAACCCTACCTAGAACATTTTCCACTAGCCGCCACTGAACAGCTATAAGTCGCAAATTTATACAGCTTGAGTTGAGAGACTAAATCGGTTACCTTTTGTATCTTAAAACAACTAAAATATGAATTATCATGTTATAAGATATAACATTAGGTCCAATGGAGTTTGCACTGTGATCTCATCTAACTCTCTGGGTACCTACCCTTCTCCGTTCAGGCCTGTCAAATTTCTGACCAAATGGCAACGCTCATACTGAGCACTTTGATGGCATGACCGCAATACCACTT